AATTGCACCAGATTTTGCATGCTCAGTTTTTACAAAATCACCCCCATTGAGTCATGTGTACAACAGTAGTAATAAATTGGTTGGTTTATTTCATCCTTTTCAATTGGAGGGATATTACATGAAAGTAGATAGCTGGGCCACTCAATGGGGCTGACTAATGAAAACTAAAACAAAGAAAACTGAAGCAAATGTGACAATATTGCCTACTGTAATCAGTTTGGTTTCATCTTTCAAATGTAATAATGAATTAGACAGAATGTCTATGGCAATTGTACTTTTGGAAGTCAAGACCACTTTATATCTAATTAGTTTCCACAGACCACACTTTCATGTTTCCTTTGTGCCTTTAAGCAGTGGTCTGCTATCTGTTGGTATATTCATTAATAAATCATTTCACGTGGTCCTGATCCCAGTTTTTAGCACTACTTCAGAAAAACACATGCTATTATTGTGAACCTGACCTATCACTATATGTTTAAAAAGATAACAACAGAGCTAAATGCGCACACATTTGTGTGCCTACAGATAGCTGTTAGTAATCAGTCCCTATGATAATTTTTTGATCCATATAGAGACCCTTGGTTCCTAGGCCCAGGCTTTACATTGGGTTTTAACTTTTGCCTAGGCCAAGATTTTTATTATGCAAAATTTATATTGCACCAACAATTTGTGCAGCGCATTACAATATAAGGTACAGTTACAATACAGTTCAATACAGAAAGATTAGGAGGGCCCTGCTCCTGGCGTTTACCATCTGATCTTAGATTAACCCACACCGTATTCTGGTGCTAAGCGCAACCCTCTGCCATTCAATTGTTCAGTGCTAGAATCTCAGTGGACAGTAGAGGCTCTTGCTTTTAAAAATTCAACAATATGGGCAAAGTTTAGACAGGGATGGGTCTTGATCTTGTCTAGACTAAAGAACCAGGAGGGCTTCAGAGAAGAGATCCAAATTGTTAGCTCTGCTTCAAAAACATACAGACTATTATAGTGAACCTTACCTATCTTAACATATTTAAAAGAGAACAGAGCTGAAATGCTCACACATTTTGGTGCCTCCAAATAGCTATGTCAGTTTTTAGTTCCTATGATAGTTTGATCCTTGTGGAGACCCTTGGGTCCTAGGCCCAGACTTTACATGCTGCCTTGATTTCTGCCTAGAGCAAGATTAACTCTCACTGTCTTTTGGTACTAGAACCAACCCTCTGTCATTCAATGCTAGAATCTCAGTGGACTGTAGAGGCTGTTGCTTTTAAAAATTGTATGATATGTGCAAGGTTTAGAAAAGGTTGGGTCTTAATGATGACTTTGGTTGAAGTGCAACCTGGCCCAAGGATCCGAGAGGGCTCCAAAGAACAAAGAAATCATTATGAAGACTTAGGTTGTGAATGCACTTCAGATCTGTTGCTACCTTAGAAATGTTTTAGGCCAGGTCAAGGTGACTGTAAGGAGGAAAGGTGTGTGTGTTGGAGATAGCAGGGTGGTGAGGGTGAAAAAAAATTAAAAAATAAAACCGTTTTAAACATCATGTCTAGGTCCTAGGTCATTTGACCCTAAGTGAACCTGTTATAACATTTAGGTTCAATGTAATGCCCACTCATATACTTTTCCTTGCTGCCTAGATGCACTGTTTAGGTGCTGGGAGCAGAACAAGCAGCCCTGTTTAAGCTATATGTTGCAACACTGGGAACTCTTCCTTGTGACCGCATTTGCTTGGTGAATGGCTCAGTGCTGTCACATGCAGTGAGTGACATGCTTCTTCATACCCCAGCAGCGAAGAGATGGCAGATAGGTATAGTCTTCTGGGTAGGGGGACCTGTTGCTTTGCCCTGCATGTTTTGTTACATGGCCTTCAGTAGTTCTGCATTCCCTCTGCTGCCTTAAGATACAAGATGTCAATCCAATACACTCTAGACCGAGTATTTTTCTGAAGCAGACCTACCCTTCAAGTCCAGGTTTACTTTAAGGGATTACAATGATTGGAGATTGTTAGACAAATCAGATGTAAGTGCACATATCATGACCAGAGATCATCTACTTAAATACATTAAACATTAGTATTTCACAGCACACAAGTAGAAGGGGAAAAGTGCAGACAAATGAATAAGCATGCTGGCTAGTGTTCCCTTTTCCGTGGATCGTATTGTAAGAATAGATACATTGTTCCTTACTTGTCAATGACTTATGGTAAATCAATGCTTTTTTTTTATTATTTTATGCTGTGGTTTCTGTGCCAGGGAAGTCTGTAAGCTCCTTAATGTGGTGCTTTAAAATACTAATGCATGCTGAAAGCTTTTAGTGGATTTCATATTAAAGCTATAAATAACAGGAGACTTTTCTTGGAGGTGGATATTGAATTGCAGAATGGTGCACAGAAGAAGCTATAGGTAAAGCAGTTTGTATGTGTTATTTTTGGCAAATGGTGATTTCATGTAATTAAATTAACAGAGCTGGCCTTGGCCTGGATTTCGTCATTAGAGGAGACAGATTTGTCCTTGAAAATAACTCTGTACAATGGAAGTGTATTACCGTGGCATAATGTAGGGGGTGTTCTGTATATAAAGCAAGCATGGCTCCAGGTTCCATAATAATATAACTTCCAACCGATATTTCAGCCGAACGACAGTGAGGTCATTCTGAACTCAGTTTTGCAAGAAACTTTCTTTCAGATTGGACAATGTTAAGGATATATACATATGACACTCACCTGCAGTGCTTTGATTGCCATATTTATCCCCCTGCTTTGTTATCCCCCTGAATATGCCAGTCTGCAGATTTCAAGTGTTACGGCTCGTTCACACTGTACAGTATGGGCAGAACAACAGATTGAAAAAAATATACAGATTTCACTTACAGAGACAAGCGCTTACATCAGTTCTCATGCGTGTTTCAGTGAGTTTTATGCAAGTTGCATATTCCAGCGCAAATTCACATCTCTGCACCATGGTGTGAACGAGGCCTTAAAGTACAGAATAGGTCATGTGATCTTTTATCTGTTGTCACCCGGGCCACAGTCAATATATCCATTTCAGTTTTAAATGAGTGTAGAATGCATTCCAAAAGCAGCTAAATTAAAACTACACTGCTGATGAAAATCATACAACTCGTAATGAACAATCCATAGGAAGACAGAGAACACCCTTGGATTCAAAATAGAAATTATTGATCTCCATGTATTAAGTTACCCCTCTTCCATAGCTGCCAGGACTAATGAAATTATATCATGCAGTGACACCGTTGTCCTTCCTTCCTTGTTAACTTTTCTTTCTTTCTTTCTCCCTCCTATAACATCAGTTAAAATGTGTAGAACACATTCGATTTTTCTTTACATTAATTCTCAGCCCCTTTCCTTTCAAACTCCAAAGTTGAAAACATCTTGTTTAAATAGGATTAATGCTTCTTAAGCAGTAAATTTATTTCACTAAATAGCACAATTAAATAAGAAATATATCTGGACATTATAGTAAAGTAAATTTAAGAAATTCAAAATATTTGATGTGCCTGGATCGGTGCTTGGGTACTGAAATCAATAAGTCTGTTGATCTAAAGTGATTCAGGCTCGAAAAAACTGAACTCTGTGGGCTTGCTAATCATAGTGAATGACAGTGAACTGATGATGTCCTATAACAATGGTGACCAGTGGTGTATTGCGGTTTTGTGCTGCCCCCCCTTCCCTATCTAAATTTGTCCTAGCCCTTCCCATTTAGGATCAACCCCTTCAGGACAGGAGGGGTTGCAGCATGACGTGGGGGCAGCTTGATAGGATAGGGAAGCATGAGAGGGGGGACCATAGGACAGGTGGGGGGAAGTGGAAGAGGAGGGGGGCAGCATAACCGAGGGGGGGCAGTGGGAAAGGAGGGGGCAGTGTGATGGGGTGGGGCAGCTGAGTCTGTGTCCCACCTCCACCAGGATCTCCAATGGCAGTTGCAACAAAGAGTGGGAGGGGCTTCTCCACCCTGATTTCCTGCTCCACAGGCCCTCCACTGGCACATTTTGGCTTCCCTACCCCGCACAGCCTGATGCACACTAACAGGGGGCCCCAGCTCTCGAACCACAAACTGGGGATCCGCCCACTACTCCGCACTCCTCTGCAGCTGGTCCCCTGGCACCTACTTGTATGTCGGCTCGGCTGTTTCCCCCCCCCCCCCCCAAGGCAATTCTTCTACTTACATCCTCGATGTTCCTTCTGCAAACCCACTTTATTTGCTTCAAAGCAGATACACCTCTGATGGTGACACCAACTACAGCCCCAGGCATTACCAAGGGATCACCACATTTAATATTCACTATATGTAATGCTACAGAAGACTGTCTGTCAAATACTACAGAAGAAGGTCAGACACTGTGGAAATGCAACAGATTTGGTCAGAGAATGGAGACATGTTGCAGAACATACAGAGACTGGGGGCATGTTATAAAAGATTGTGAGAAAACACTGAAATTAAAGTCCCTTTTCAAATCAATGCAAACCACAGCTACTGATTGCTAGGGTCCAAAGGCTGCACAACAAGTACCAAATGCCCCAGATTTTGGACACCAGAGCTTTATAATGTGTAATAACACATTACAGTTCACCTTTCTTCAATCTGTGATACACAATTATATGAGGATTGCTGAGTATTTGGTACAGGTTTCTCCTGTTTGCATGTAGCTCTTTTTCGTCATTGCACACCACTGCAATGGTTTGGTGTGAACAAGGCACGTAGACACCTGCAGCATTTGCTGTGTCCTTGCGTTGAGCCTGCTTTGATCTATGAAGCCCATTGCTCTTGGTGTGAACGAACTCTACAGGTAACCTGTCTTTCTGGGGCCCACGTGTGATGGCTTCACACAGCAGTTGTGTCAGATGACCCCACAGTCGGTTACTGAGTGTCTTCACTTTACAAATCACTGCATTTAGGATAGTGGACTGTTGTTCAACAAGTATGCAGTTTTTATTTTCTCTGAGCAGATACAAAAGAAAATCCAGTGCTGATATGATTTATTTTTATGAATTTCAGGCCTGATCATTGTGCCCAGTGCTGGTGTTGGGATTGTGTTAGGTGGTTACATCATCAAGAAACTTAAACTGAGCGCAAGAGAATCTGCAAAGTTGGCAATGATTTGTAGCGGTGTGTCCCTGCTCTGTTTCTCTACCCTGTTCATTGTGGGATGTGAGAGCATCAATCTTGGCGGCATTAATATACCTTATACTACTGGGTAGGTATACACTCTTGACTATGTTTGTTTCCAATAACAATTTTGGTTATACACTGGCCTTGCTATGAGCTTTCTGTACAGATCTGAATTTCAGATGTCCTTCATGGACACTTTTTTTTTTCTTTTAGGGTCCATGCACACAGGCAGGGACGGACTGACCATTTGGAAACTCAGGCACTGCCCGAGGGCCCGGGGTCAGTAGGGGGCCCCATGAGATGCCCCTGGTACCTTTTTCATAGGCTTAGTTGAGTTTGGGCAAGGACACAGGGGCCCCATGATCCCCTATTGCCCGGGGGCCCCATGAGTTGTCAGTCCGCCCCTGCACACAGGGCTTAAAAAATCTAACCGTACCCCTTCACAACGTCAGTATCCTTTTCTGCTCCATAAATTCTTCAAAACTTTGCTTTACTTTGAAAGGAACCTGGGATGTTTGTTACAGATCAGGTATTCACAAAGTAGAGAACCAAGAATACGTATTACATCCCCAGAAAATGCGTCTTCAGAAACAGGTCAGCAGTGGCAGCTAATATAATTCTATCTTGATAGATTACCTTTAAGTTAGTCATCTGAAATTAAGAATACACAGGCATGGTGGGAGCTTGTTTAGGTTAATATATGCAAAATCAAAAACAACTACAAGATCAACATTTAAAGTGATTGTAAAGGCATCATAGAATGCATGAAGGTAAAAAACCTTCTATGTGCAGCAACCCATCCTAATACTTACCTGAGCCCCATCGCAATCCAGCAATGTGCATGAGAGCCTTGGCTCTCCTCATCAGCTGAGACAGCAGTGTCAATCACAGCCAGTAAGCCAATGAGGTGAGAGACGGGGCAGGGCTGAGCAATGGTTCTGTGTATAAGTGGACACACAGAGCAGTGGCTCGGGAGCGAGCCTGCTTGGGTGCCCCATAGCAAGCTGCTTGCTCTGGGGGCACTAGGCAGGTGGGACGGTCTAGGAGTGCCGACAGGGGACCCGAGAAGAGGAGGATTGGGGCTGCTCTGTGCAAAACCACTGCACAGAGCGGGCAAGTATGACATATTTGCTATTTAAAAAAAATCTTTTAATATCACTTTAAGAAAAGCCCCTTACAGGATATCAATACCTTTATAACAGATTATCCTAACTGCTTGCCCTTTTATGCCATGTATAGTTGCCACTAGAGATCTCAGATTAGTAGGTAAACTTGTCAAAAGGTTGAAGCCCCTGCTAGGTTGGATGGCTCTGCTGTCTTCTCCACCAAGCACGTACCTGTCTTTTCCACATCAATCGTAATAGAGAAGTCATCTTGTTTATCTGCGCTCTTGTGCTAGGTCAGTAATGAAATGAGATCAGAATGACAGCCAGGCAGCAAGCATTATCAGAAGAAGTCATCAGTTTCAATTTCCATATATGTCAGTTGTCCTGTAATACAACTGTGCTTACTATTTCCAATACATGTCATTGCAATTTATATATTTAATCAACCTGCAATAGGAAATAGAAGAAGATTTTTAAGTTAATTTTGAAGTCTTGGCATACGAAATAATTTTGTCTACATGGTAGTACACATTTTGTAGTAAGTGTAAAATGTTCTTCTTTCCTTCTCAGCCCCACATTAACGATGGCACACAGGAATCTAACAGGTGGCTGTAATGTTAACTGTGGTTGTAAAATACATGAATACGAGCCAGTGTGTGGATCGGATGGAATTACATACTTCAATCCTTGTCTTGCTGGATGCAGCAATGTGGGAAATCAAAGCATTGCAGTAAGTACAAAATGTGAACTACTCGCCTGCTGACTCCGCTGCTTGGAAGTCAAGAAAGATCATTATATTTATGAGATTAAGACAGTAGAGCGTATTTAAAAAGCAATGAGCGTATTATTTACTGCATGTTCAGAGCACTTTCACTGCATATTCACTGATAATAATTTATCATATTATAAAGCAGATCTACCTGCACATGCTCTTGATTTGACAACCACCACTGCTTATTCACTTAACATTTACTAAAGAATCATTAACCATATTCATAAAACACATCTGCCTGCACATGCACTGGATTTAGCAACATTCACTATACATTTACCAGAGAATCATTTGCCATATCCAGTGGGGCCTCTGTTGTTAGGCTTTGGGCTTGTGCCAATGGCATCAGCTTGACATCAGTTTAACCACTTGCCTACCCGGCACTTTTACCCCCTTCCTACATAGACCAATTTTCAGCTTTCAGTGCTGTCACACTTTGAATAACGATTACGTGGTCATGCAACATTGTACCCAAACAAAATTTTTATCCCTTTTTTTAGACAGATAGTGCTTTCTTTTGGTGGTGTTTAATCACCACTGGGGTTTTTATTTTTTGCTAAACAAACTAAAAGACTGAACATTTTGTAAATTAGTAATTTTTCTCCTTCACTGATGTGTGCTAATGAGGCTGCAGTGATGGGCACTGATAGGCTACACTGATGGGCACTAATAGGCGACACTGATGGGGAGGCACTGGTAGGTGGCACTGATGGGCATTGACAGGCATCACTGGTGGGCACTGACAGGCATTACTGATGGGCACTGAAAGGCAACACTCCTATATGGCACTGATAGGTGGCACTGATGGGCACTGTTAGGCAGCACTGACTGGCACTGTTAGGCAGCACTGATTGGAATTGTTAGGCAGCACTGATTGGAACTATTAGGCTGCACTGACATGCACTGATAGGCAGCACTGACGGGCACTGATAAGCGGCACTAACTGGCACTGATAGGCGGAATTGATAGGCTTCACTGACTGGCACTGATAGGCGGCACTGAAAAGCAGCTCTGATGGGCACTGATATGTGGCATTGATGCACACTGGTAGGCACTGATATGTGGCATTGATGTGCACTGATGGGAACTGGTATGTGGCATTGATGGGCACTGACAGGTGGCACTGATGATGGGCACTAACAGTGCCCTGATGATCAGTGTAGATGTCCCTTCTGAGGAATGATGCTTACTGGCTCTCCTCTCCTCACCCACTGTTAGCGTGAGGAGAGGACTGCCAATAACAGTATTTCCTTGTTTACATGCAATCAGTTGTGATTGGACACAGCTGATCTCATGATAGAGCCTGCGTCATCGGCTCAGTTATCTGCGCAGTTAGAGTGGGAGGACGTCATATGACATTCTCCCAGAATGAGAGAGTCACCGCCTGCCCATCATTTCCTTATTTGGTGGGTGGGAGTTAGTTAAGAAGCTTATGAGATTATTCAAAAATCAATGATGTGTACTTTACCTGCTGCTGAGCTCCATCTAACCTGCTACAATCAGGTCTTGCGTTTCCATAGACTTGTAGGAATGCAAAACCTGTCTGTTGCAAACAAAAGCCCATTAGCACATGACCTAACACACATTTGCCTTCACTGAATTAGGCACAATTCCCAGACCTTCACCGATGCCTGCTCTTCAATAGAAAAATGGTTCTTACTGTTCTATTCAGCCTATTCATAATTTTTAGATTGTGCATAGACTTGCATGAGAATGAAAACCTGTCTGACACGAATAAAAGCCCATTGACACATACTGTAAAACACATCTTCCTGCGCTGATTTAGGCAAAAGTATTGGAGCTTCACCAATGCCTGCTCTTCAATGGAAAAATGGTTCTTACTGTTCTATTCACGCTATTCAAAAGCTGCAGAATGTGAGAATGAGACAAAGCTTGTGTTCACAGTGAAAGATGAGTGTTGGCGTTTGGTTTTACCTGTGCTGTGTAGAGTTACCTTCTTCAGAAAACTAACATGAGCGCTGGATCTACTATATCTTGCTGTATCATAACTGGATTACAGTGCTTGATAAGAAATAATACATTCTGGGTTGCTGTCATGCTGAATAAGAAAAAAAAAATTTGAGGAACTCCTTTTTACACCAAGAAAAGTTTAGAGAGTAGATGTGGGAGTGCCATCTGTTTTCTGTTGAAGAATCTTGAGCTCCTCGTCCAGCAAGATATAGCCCAAAGATAAACACAGCATCAGGGGTCGTAAAAAAGGTGTATCCTGTTTTACATAGAGGTTTTCTTTTTTTAATGTATTTATTAGCCCCAGTTCACACCGGTGCGACTTGCTTTGACATCTGTGCATGAAGTTGCACAGATGTCAGGCAAGCCACAATGTGTAATTGCACCGAGTCCATGGCTTTGAAATGTTGCTACTTCTTGAAGTAGCATGATTTCAGTGTCTCATTTGGTGTGAACCGGGGCTTAAGGACACAGGATATGTCCATAGCAGACATATCTAGGTCATTAGTATAACAATTGTTATAATGATGTCCATTGCCATATTACATATCAAAGGATAAAATCTAGACAAATGTGTATATATATATATATATATCTATCTATCTATCTATATCTATATATATATATATATATATATATATATATATATATATATATATATAGTGCTGTGTAAAATGATGGCTCTATATAAGTACCTGTAATAAATAAATAATAAATATATGAATGTCAGATTCATGACCTACAGTGGATAAGTGTACACATGACCTGTACAGTCCCTGATTTGGGAATTTATAATCATTATAACATAGAGGGAAAGAAAGAGGGTCACATGGAAGTTTTAGTCTTCAGTTACTGAGCTTGATTAAAGACTAAGTTCACCTTTAACCCCTTAATGACTGAGGGTAAAACAAATGTTAAAGCCTGAAAACTATTTTGCAACTTTGACATGTATTAGTAAAACTGTACATATCATCACAACTACTTTGTGTATCCAGGTGGATTATACCTTGTTTTTTTTCAGGTTAAATTGGACTTTCATTTGGTGGTAAATGGTAACAGATATCGCCTGCTTTTTTAATTATTTTTATTATTAATGAAAAACTGGCCAAAAATAATAAAACAAATATATATTTTTTTAAATTTAGCTGCATATTTCTTGTTACTACCATAACCTACCACCAGAGAACAACCCAAAATAAATTCTCCTGCTCCTGGCGATCACAGCAATACAACATATGTGTATGCTAGTTTTTTATACCCATAGTACATCCCAGAAATAATAGTGCACATTTTTCTTTTTTGATCCTACCTAAAACACACTGAAACTGACATTAACTCACACTGATACTAATTTAAAAAATGTGCCCAAAATATACTGATACTGAAATTGACCTTTGACCCTTATCTTCACCCTAACACTAACCCTGGCACTGACCTAGATCAATCCTTGATCTATCTATGCATATTGTGCAGAGCACTCGCAGCACTAAGACAGGTATGAGTATATGTGGCCCCTCCGATAAAGGTCCACTTCTGTGAGGTCTTATATGTGTATAATGCCAGTGGTAAGGTGTTAAGGAAAAAATAGTTTAAAAAAATAACAAATACACAGATTACTGCAGAGAAAAAGGATGACAGCACTGATTCATCATGCTGCAGTAGAACAAAAAAACAAGAAAGAACCACGGAAACTAGTTCTTCTCCTATAGTCCATAACGTAGAGGAGCCTGGTTCTTCATACCAAGGAGCTAAGAATAATATGACTGATAATAGTCAGTACAGGCAAAATTTACATGATTCCAAGTAAAAAATATAGTGCAACACAGTACCAACATCCCTAAATATATTATTGCAAAAAACTAAAAAACTTGTTTTTCGGGTTCCCCCTAAGTGCATGCAAAGATAAAAGAATGTACTAATTCATTAAATTCTATTACATACAAAACAGCAATACAAAATAATCCCATAAAAGTCATGAAGGAAATAAAGACCTATTACATCCAATACAAAGCCATTTTGTTTAGGTATATGTTTCTCTGTCTAGAAAACACTTCTCGGTTGTAGCCTTGAAATCCAGAAGGTTTACAGTGTAGAAATATCTTATATCTCCTTGACATGTTCTGCAGGATGACCTGCTTGATGAGGAGGGGATGTCAGCTATGATGATACACTTGCAATACCTTCCCAAGAGAGGAATATATAACGGTAGGAAAGACCAAGATTCCTTCCCCACTGTGGTGGCTGAGCTGGGAATTGGAGGTGACTGAATGAAATTGGTACAGGCTGGATTTATCTTATGAGTACACTGATATTGCTGTAAACCTAGATAATGTTGGGTTAATTCTCTATGACTTAGAGTAGAGAGAGGCAACATCATTTTTTTATCAAGTTGTTATTGGTGAAGTTCTGCTTAACTAACATTTTCAGAAGGTCAGCAGTGGCAGCCCCTGCATTTCTGTCATGACCGATTCACTTAGAAAAGATTGCAGATTTACTATTAACTATAATGTTCATCAACAGTTTCCGAGTCCAACATACAGTACCTTTTACTGTTTATTATGACCATGTTCACAAAATGACTGCCTCCTGAGACTGGGAGATGTGAGGACCCTGTAATAACTAAAGGCATTTTGAAAGGCAGCCAGGCCTAAAAGCTGTTCAGAGAAGCTATCACTTTCTGTATGGGATGATTTCACTATGCAGGATGTAAGTCCATGGCATGTTGGCATTCCAGTGATTCAAACCGAGCCAAGGCAACCTGAGAAGCCTGCACCACGCTAGGTTATTGTGACACACTGTCTGTCTGGACAGCCGTGAGAACTTTTCTGGTTCTACCTACCTTTTCCTCCTCGCTGTGATCTTGATTACAAGAGTGTACGTTCTGTCATCATATCAGCTGTGTTTTTACAGAATAGTGTTCTCATTGCAGGCTTTGACTTGACGTGCCCTGGTAGCTCAGATCCTGTTTCCAATTAGTTACTGGCATTTATTTATATAGAAGGATCAGTGTAACTGATTGAAACAAGAGAGGTATATTCTCTCACCAACTTGTCTAACCTTAGACATACTGACTACCAGCTGGACACCGTATTCCTATTAGGAATGTGCTGAAGCATTTCTTGCCCTGTTTAAGGAAATCGATTTAATATTAGTCATGAGTTAAAGGGCACCTGCCAGCTTGTAACAGATATGTCAGGAGAGAAGGACAAGAAATAGAATATACTTTACTACTTATGATAGCTTTAATGTATTTTGGAAGTGCGGTGTATAAAAATCATTAACCCAGGATATGAAATATATATATATATATATATATATATATATATATGGAGTTCATACCTGCCACCAAGGCAGTGGCTGCTTTATATTAAGAGTGAGATCCTGTTGGTGTTGGTCCCTGGAGGCTAGGCCAGGTAGAGTGAGGGCGTGCTCCCTGGCCACCACTCCATGCAAGGTTTCCCTGTCTTGGAAGGAATGGCAGTGTTTAAAAAAAGTTCCTGATGAGTATGTTTGAGACTGTGAGGGTAGGGCTGGCCAGCTGGCTAAAGCCCTGGTTTTGATCTGCTGTTGCATATAGTCCTGTGTGGAAAAAGATGTTCTGTTCTGCTTGCTAAATAAAAGTGAGAAAAAAACCCTGAAACATACACTGCTGAGTGAAAGGTAATGCAAAACAAAGGCAAATGAGTCTCCACTGACCCATCCACATGCATGTGAAAATTTCTACTTGAACTACTAAGTTAACTAAGTAACCTGTTCTACAGCTTAACCTAACAGTATGTTACAGTGAGACAGGTGTCAGACAGCCCTTACTTATCCATGATTACACAATGAAATAAGTACAGTGCCTACTTTCCTGCCCTCATCCTTTATACTTTTTCCTTACAGTGTCTGCTGCAAAAAAATGAACAATAACCTGTGGCTACATCGTTACCACAATATAAAATATAACCCTTCCTTCTTGTATCTGTTGCAGGTAAGAAATTATACTGAATGTGCCTGTGTTCAAAGTCGGCAAGTCATCACTCCACCAACAGTGGGTCAACGCAGCCAACTCCGAGTGGTCATCGTCAAGACCTATCTGCATGAAAATGGTTATGCCGTGTCGGGGGAAATGCGATCGAACCTGCAATACCCTCATTCCATTTCTGATATTTCTCTTTATCGTAACTCTCATCACAGCATGTGCACAACCCTCAGCCATCATTGTGACTCTCAGGTGAGAAGCAAGTGTTCACAAATACCAGAAATACATACATACACAACAGCAGGATCATATTCAGGAGCTTTGCGCATGGGCATGTCTCTAGATCAGGGGTCTCCAAACTTTCTAAACAAAGGGCCAGTTTACTGTCCTTCAGGCTTTAGGGGGGCCAAACTGTGGCTGGTGGGAGTAGAAAATGCCCTGCCTAAAATGGGAGTAAGCAATACCCCATCATCAGTTTTATTGGGAGGAATAGTGCCCCATTGTTGGCATCAGTGGCAGGAATAGTGCCCCATTGTTGGTGTCAATGGAAGGAGTGGTGCAACATCATTGGAGCCAGTGGGGGGAATAGTGCCCTGAGGACCAGATGAAGGCAAGCAAAGAGCTGCATCCGGCCCCCGGGCCACAGTTTGGATACCACTACTCTAGATGATGGGGCCTTAAAGTAAAAATTACTCCAACTTCAACCAATCACCTACCCAGCATTCCTATGTAAGAACCAATGACTATTAATCCAGTAATTATTTTCTGTTCCATTATTTTTTAATATTGTTATCCAAAGTCATTAAAGTAAAGTACATTCCTTTCAAATAAAATGCAAAGGTTCATTCAGTGTTGTAAGATGGAAGGTTTTAAACATACAAATAAAACATGTATCTAAGTGCTCCTTTAGACTGGCAGTTACAGGAGCATTAAAAATGTGTGGTTGAGCAACATATTAAGCGCCCCCTCAACCACCCCCTTCTAAGCGGAAAAAGCAGCGGACGGGAGGTGTTGACATGCCGCAGCTGCTTTCCATTGTGCCTGTTGTAAAAATGATTGCTCCAATCAAATTCAGCAGGCATTAGTGCCAATGAATGCAACCTATTCAAGTGAATGGGGAAGCACCACAAATGCCCCACAACTGTGTGCAATGCATGTGGTGTGCGGCGCATTGGCATGGAAATTATGGGGTTTCAACTGGTGAACTAAGCAGAACAACAGAACGAAACCAACATTAAGTTGGGTTGTATTTGTTGTTCCTTTTTTGAAGTAGAATAGTCATTATGAGGTGAGGAAGATAGGGGTAAGTAAAGAATGTGAGTGTGGAAAAAGGGGGAACCAGGTGGAGAGATGAGGAAAGGAAATAGGAGATAGAAGAGGAGAAATCGAAGAAAAGATAACAAAAAAAAAAAAAAAAAAAGGGGGGGGGTCTCTCATGCCACAGAAAAGTAATTATACTCAGAACCTTTTCATATAAGTGCCTAAAGTCCCAAAAGCTATTGCTATATAGATGAATAATCAAGTAACGGACAGCACAGCATTGGTACTAAGCTCCGAGTGCTGCTGAACCCTATAGCAGTTCTGTAGGCACTGTGGCTAAAGTTATACCTTTGATTGTACACCATATGTGACCTACAAACTGCAATGGGAAAATATTACAGGAGTTACTGATATGCTAAAATGATTGTATCACACAAGGTTTTCACAGATTGTCTCCCCTACCACTTCTATACAAGTGACATTTCTGTAAAGAATATATTTATATTTTTTACATAGTGACGTTATACTGGCTTTTAATGCTAATAATTTCACATCTTCCTTCTCTTCTGTGACTCTGTTTGAAGTAAGTGGTACTAATAGGATAATTAAACAGATAACATGTTACAAGTGAAAGATAAATACAAATGATTAGCAAAAAATATGGAGCAGTATGGTACTTTAGGTGAGGATATGTATCATATTGTCACGAACCATAAACCAGGCGAGACAGAAAGTGCAGTTAAAATCACACATTTAATGAAACGGCAAATATAATATAGATCAGGAATGTCATCAAAACAGAAGCCAGGGTTTGGATGCCCGTGTGGGTAATCAGATGAACCAGGGTCAGGAAACCACAAATCAGCTTAGTCAGCAGGAGCCCAGCTCTGACACAGCTTACGGTTTAAATAGGTAATGGGTAGAAACAGATAATGAAATGAGTTAAGGATGTTTATAGCCACCTTTCCCAACCTTTTTACCTCAGAGGAACCTTTGAAATCTTTTTTAGGTATCAGGGAACATCTGCTAAGATTAATTCATGAGGGGTCAGTGGGATTTATATCCCTTAGATTGGTGGACAGTGGGAGAAATGCCCCCTTACAATGGTGGTCAGTGGACAGAATGCCCAGCTTACAGTGATGGTCAATGGGAAGAATTTCCCTCCTTACAAAATGTGACCCTTAAAGACTGCTAAAAAGATCATTGGTGTCATGCTGGTAGCTTTGTCAAGTGAAATTGGACATACTAAACATTGAACTGTGCAGGTACCATCAGAGACGAGGTCAATCAGCCACAGCTCAATTAACCCCCAGCAACCTCTGGAGGAACCCCTAGGGTTTCATGGATCCCTGGTTCACAAAGGCTGGTTTACAGTGGCAGGATAAGCCTCCTCAGAGAGTGGAGAAGGAAGCAATACTAGCTCAGTTTAGGCTACGTTCATACTATAGAATGTTGGGAACGTGTGCACAATTACAGACATTCCTGACATGCGGGAGAAACGCGCTACTCTTTAGCAGATGTGCAGATATGCCATTAATTTTTAATGGCACCTCCATGCATCAGCAACCGCAGTGTGATTTTGGAAACTCTAAAGCACTTGGTGCTGCAACACCATGTGACTCAGCGCTGTGCGATTTAAAAAAAAAAGGGTCAGAGACTTCTTTCCCCATGTTTCTGTGTGTAGGGCAGCCCATTGGAATGAATGGGCTGCCGTAAACACAGAACGCAACTGCACAGGTTTAAACCAGAGCTTTGCTGCAGAGGTGAGATTAAAGGCCTATTAAGACTTATCCAGTATGTTGTGATGCGCTAACACTCATGTGTTCATATATATTGCGTTAGGTAGACTGCAGTGTACAAAAAAATGGACGTCTCTTTCTTTTTCTGCAGTGCTCCATACACCCTATGTGCTTTGTTGTGCATTGCGGTGTGTAAGCTAATACTGTACAGCATGTTGCAGTGCCCTTCACGGTGAAAGACATAGTATATAGAGCCCTGCATTGATGTACATTGCAGTGACATCACACATTTTAACCCATGTTTCATACTAAATGGGCGTGTAATGTAAAATTGTACTCCATTTTAAATATTTATATGTTAAACGTCTGCCTTAGAGTACTTTGAATATCTACTCATGTGTACAAAAAAATCTAAAACAGCATTTTTGCTTACAGATGATTGGCTGTTTCAATTTTCACCTAAGATTCATGCATTTTTAATTTTTTTTTGATTGGAAAATTTGTGAATAGTGGATGAAAGTTGTGTAAATCCTGGATGAAAACAGTTGTAAATAAACCTCTTTTAATTGAGTACTATTTATTCACATGCAACTGGACTGAATCAGCAAGCGCTGATCTGTGTATTATGACGAGGGGAGTCCCTGCTGTCAGAATAGTGGATGTGGGGATGTCAGTTTTTTTTTTTATTTTACCTTTAACCACTTGCCAACACGCTATAGCCGAATGATGGCTACAATGCGGTTGTCCAGTCCTGGGAGGGCGTCATATATTTATAGGGCCCCCGGGGGTGTGCACAAGCAATCTCCATGATCGCTGTGTCCTACGGACACAGCTGATCATGTGATGTGGTAAAAGGCCAATCACAGCGGCCTTTTACCACGTGATCAGCTGTGTCCAATGACACAGCAGATCACCGGTAAATTCCATTGCCGGTTATCAGCTGCACTTTCCCACTGCTGTCACAGTGTGAGTAAAGTAGTGCCGATAACCGGCAATTGTCAGAGGATGGATCGGCACCGATCATCAGGGCACTGATGATCAATGCCCAGCAGTGCCACCCACCTGTGCCACCCACAAGTGCCCAGAAGTGCCACCCACCTGTGCCCATCTGTACCCTGCAGTGCAACCCACCTGTGCCCATCAGTGCCTAGTAGTGCCACCCACCTCTATCCAGCAGTGCCACCCATCAGTGCTGCCCAGCAGTGCCGCCAGTCAGTGCCCAGCAGTGGCGCCAGTCAGTGCCATCAGTCAATGCCACCCAGCAGTGCTGCCCATTAGTGCTGCCTATCAGTGCCCATTATTGTTGCATATCAGTGCCAGCTCATCAGTGCCACCTATCAGTGCCCATCAGTGCTGCCTATCCGTGCCACCTCATCAGTGCTGCCTATCCGTGCCCATCAGTGCTGCCTATCAGTGCAGTCTCATCAACGCACAACAGTTAAGAAGAAAAATTACCTGTTTGCAAAATTTTATAATAGAAACAAAGAAAACATTTTTTTTTCAAATTTTTGGATCTTTTTTTGTTTATACCACCAACAGAAAGCTTATTTGTGTGAAAAAAAAAATGATAAAAAATGTAATATGGGTGCAGTGTTGCATGACCGTGCAATTATCATTCAAAGAGCGACAGCGCTGAAAGATGAACATTAGCCTGGGCAGGAAGGGGGTAAAAGTGCCCGGTAGGCAAGTGGCTAACCTGTTGGCGGAACAAAAAAAAAGTGTGTGTGTACTCGCTTAAGTGTTTACTTTTCCATTCTAAAAACACTGTTTGTACTGATCTTATCCATACAAATGACTCTGGAATTGTAACTCAAACAGTGTTTAGTGTTTTTGTGCTGCCTTTCTCTTAGGAACGCAGTTGGCTATTAGGCAGACAGTTTGTGAATTTTCCCTATAGAGATCTCCTGCAATATGACATTTGGAAGTGTAGATCAGAGGTGCACAGGGAAGCTTGCTTTCAGCCACACATGATACAAGTTCTATAGCCTGTGAACATATTCTTCTACCATTCTGCCTCATTTGTTTTGTCACCAGTGTCCTGGAATGAACTTTGCTAAATATCACAGGCTTTTAGTATGTGCAGCTTCAGCCCGAGGCCCATTTTTTTACAGAGCTGTTTACTTTAAAGAGCAACTAAATGTG